GGCGAGAGTCCTCCGGATAGACGCTATCACGCACACTCCCCCTCTGTCTCGTCCCGAAGGCTCTATTGGCTTCGAGGACGAAGAAAAGGATGAGTGCTTCGCCGACAGCGTCGCCGCTTAATGCTCTCCCAGCTCACAACCCACTGACCCCCTACATATCCAGCTAGTAGAGGACGAGGTCCGTCGCCGGAACTCGCCCACACCGCCTCTGACCCTATCACTGTGTCCAAAGATAAGATTTCATCTACCATCAAAGGACTTAAGCCCAAAAAAGCACCGGGTGCGGATGGCATCTCCAACCAAGCCCTCAAACACTTTCCGAAGCAGGTGATCGCCTTATTGGCCATAATCTTCAACGCCTGCTTCGAATTCAGCTACTCCCACTTCTTGAAAAGAGGAAACTGTCATCGGCATTCCCAAGGCAGGCAAATCTTGTGGCCGTGGAGGGAAAAGGGGAGATCGCCCGCCGGGCAAGGTGTTCTGCCCGGGGAGTGGCCAACACTCCGTGTGATAGTTCGGAGATGTTCTATATATGCTGTTTATGATTCGGAATGTTGATAGCGTGATTTAGGCTTCGGTATGTTTCGCTTGCGGCGCGACGACAGCGCCGCCACATCACCCCCCTGCTCAGACCGGAGGTCAATAGTGCAGTCCGATTGCCGGTGTGTCTTTTTAATGCCGGTGGGGAATGCATGCTGTGTGCGTAAGGGCAAGTGACACCGGTGCGAATGATATGCCGATGTATAATGCATGCCGTACTACGCACTGGCAAGTGATGCCGGTAAGAACGATGTGCCGGAGCAAGTGCCAGAAGTCTGCCTTATAAATCTGCGGTGAGACGAGATGAAGACAAGTTGGACTGGCTTGCAGGAACTGAAGACTGCAGAAGACGATTCTCAGTAGTGAATGGTAGGGGTTCTTGAGGATAATGACGAAAGCTTGAAGTTGTAGTTTCCGAAGGTGTTTGGTTGCGTGTTCAGATCACGTCGGATGGTCACCACTGTGGCCGTGGAGGGAAAAGGGGAGATAGTTCGGAGATGTTCTATATATGCTGTTTATGATTCGGAATGTTGATAGCGTGATTTAGGCTTCGGTATGTTTCGCTTGCGGCGCGACGACAGCGCCACCACAATCTCACCATCTCCCCTCCAATTATCGTCCCATCAGCCTCCTCAAGGCCATAGGCAAACTTTTCGAACGAGTTAATCTCGTGCGCATGAGGCGCTATTTGTTTCCCACAGACGGCGACCCTCTTCTCATCCCTCAACAATTCGGGTTTCGTGCCAAACACTCGTGCCCCCAGCAAGTTCACCGCATAGTGGAATATATCCTCAGCGGTTTTTATCCTCGTCGTCAAAAGACCATCGCGGTCTTTTTCGACATTGCCAAGGCATTCGACAGAGTCTGGGATGAGGGCCTTATCTACAAATTGTACGATTTAGGCCTCCCTGACCGCCTCGTCCGCCTTGTAGCCTCCTATTTGAAGGATCGTACCTTTCGTTTTAGACACGAAGGCACGCTATCCTCTACTCGTCAAATCAAAGCCAGTGTCCCTCAAGGCTCTGTGCTTGCTCCCCTCCTATATATACTATACTATTCACCAACGACATCCCTATCCCGTCGAATGTTAAACTAGCCCTATTCGCAGATGAAACAGCCCTTTACTCTAAAGGCAACTCACTGCCACAGATTCGGAACAAGATCCAAAAGTCAGTTAACGACTTAGGAGCTTGGTTCCAAAAATGGCGTATCGACGTAAACCCGGAGAAGAGCTCCGTCGTTTGCTTCCAATATAAACGACGCCATCTCATTAGCACTCCGCCAATCAGGATGTTAGGAACCCCTGTCCCATGGCAAACAAAAGCCAAATACTTAGGCGTCACCCTTGATGCAAGGCTCACTTTCGAGCCCCATATCAAGAAGGTAACGCTAAAAAAAGGTAGGCTCAACAGCATGTTGGGCATGCACAGTAAAATGTCTCTCCGCAACAAGCGAACCCTATATAAGGTCTGTGTACGACCTGTTATGACCTACGCGGCCCCCATTTTCGCACATGCTAAACCCAAAGTTATAAATGAACTTCAAATAGTTCAAAATCTATTCTGTCGTAGGGCCACTAATTCGCCCTATTATATCCGTAATACCGACCTACACCGAGACTTAGAGCTCCCAACAATCCAGCAGTTCCTTAAATCACTCTCTGAGAGATTTTTCAAAGCCTCAGAGTCCCACCCAAATCATCTCATTCGTGAGACAGCTGCCTATGCAGCCCCTATCTACATTCGCTATAGTGTGCGCAGACCGAGAAACTCTCTCTCGGACCCCCCTAACAAGCTTTCGGCTGACCTGAACTGCCTCCTGGCGGCTCAGGCCGAGCCTACATAACACATCCCTTAATCTGCCTTAGTTAGGCACACTTCTAAGCGGCTTTTCGCCGCTTGCACCCTCCTTTCTGCCAAGGAGGGTAGCGTTCGTATACGGCTTAGAGATCTCTCGTCAGATCTGTAAGCCAATCCATAAAAGCGGTGTTTAGTGGGTAAAAGTCCCCACATAACCACGCAGCCGGCCCACCTATACAAATATAATTTTAACCTAAAAAATGTGCTATCTTATTAATTACATTTTAACTTTTTTTTTAAGTTTTTGGCTACCAAGACTGCTTTTATTGAGCAGCATAATCATTTGACATTTCATTTGGAATCAGTTCAACTAATTTAAATTAGTGAATAATAGAGGCAATCTCTAGCAATAATACAAGTTTAAATAATTTAGCCGGCTGCGTGGTTATGTGGAGACTTTTACCCACTAAACACCGCCTTTATGGATTGGCTTACCGATTTGACGAGAGATCTCTAAGCCGTATACGAACGCGACCCTCCTTGGCAGAAAGGAGGGCGCAACCCATGATACGACGATGAATTCTCTTAAATAGGCATCACTTTTGCAACGTATTACTTAATAAGGAGCGGGTAGTGGCGGTGTAAGAATATCTAAAGTCAATCAATTACGTTAAATTGATCAGTGACAACTGTCACAGTGTTGTTATAGTCAGATGTTTGCCGCACGCCACCGCCGCTCAAGTTGATTTATTTAATCAGTAATTATCGGCTCAGCATACAAGTTGATGTTTCGATTGTTAAGGGCGTCTAGTACGTCAAATGGCTTAGCAAGATCCTCTGTTATGTCGAAAATACTGCGGCATTATTTTTGAAATAAATAGCTTTGAAAAAATTTCGAGAACATGTCGCTCATCCAACAGAACAACGACTTAATTACGTTTTCGATATTTTTCAGGAGAAGACTTTCAAAGTTTGGAATTGAAAATATAAATGTAGTTTTAATAATTTTGATTAAATCTTTAAATATTAATGTATGTTAGTTTATTACCAACAATTATTCATAATAAATTACTATGAAAACTCAAGAAAATTTATTTAAAATCCCATACAAAAAATTCGGACATACATTTATGCCATTTTTGTAAAAATAAAAAATTCAATTATGACGTATAGGCGTGGTTTGGAGAGGAGAATAAAGTATGAATTTAAACAAAGAGATATTCAATATAGTTGTTATTTGCCCATATAAAAGAATAGCATCAAATAATAGAATTAAATCTATAAAAATAACAAACCCTACATATGAAACAACATCGGTCATGGTCTTAATTAAAACGATACTGTAAATCTTTAGAAGAAACAAAATAGTTAAATACTATGAATTAAATTGACGTAATCACTCATCTATTACTCTAATAATAATTAATGTGATTTACGTATTGCTTAAAATAACATTTAAATTAAAATAAGACTTAAATCGACACCTAAATGTATAAATTAGGTACTAAAAAAGAGAATTATAAAAAGGCTCGTAGTATTTTGGAATGATATTGGAATTTATTAGATGCAGCAAATCTTTTTTTTTACGTTCTGAAATGCAAAGTTTAGCATTATAGGCTTTTTTTACGAGAATTTCAGCAGTCTGATTTTTCCTATTACGTATTTTAGGTCCCGTATGAATACTACATTGAATCCATTCTGCTGTATCCTCGTATGATGTCTTGTATGAATATACATCAGATCCCTTAACAAATTTAATTACTCTAATGTCTGATAATCTGACATTATCTCCATTGAGGTTCTTGTAAAAATTTACCGCTAATTGATCGGCCAAATCCTTCCAGTCAATAAAATCTGTAAAGTTTAGTTCATGGACAACATAAGGTTTACCCTTTTTCTTTGCATTCCTTATTAATTGGACGTATTGATCAGGAACGTATATAGGGCCTGATTTTTTGCACTTTTAATCGCCTTTTCAATAATAGAGTGTGCGTTGTCCCCTTCGTTTTGGGTGTGGCCTCTTATTAAAAACTTACGCGTAATTGATTAAATTGGCAATGTTCTTACTGCATATGCGTACATACTAAATATGTATCTGAAAAAAAAAAACGTTCAAATATAGATTGTTGTTGCAATCAAGATAATATTTGTATACAATTAAAACTCACCTATTTTTCTGCTGGCCGCAGCAGTTATCTGAGTAAAACACAACATCAATATGCGGAGTGTCCAGAGCAACTTTTTCTAAAAACTTAAAAATGCAAGAGCCTATTTCTACTGCACCTCGATTGCCCAGTCCCTCATGCCAAAAGTAACAAATTGTGTTTTTATTTTTTAAATCGGACACCTGAAATATGAAATAACAATTAATTTAAATTTAAATTAACTTTTATTAATGAAATCAAAATATATAACAATTTTTCCATTAAACTTACAGTAAAATTTAAGCAGTTTAATTTTGATCTGTAGAAGAAGGCCGATGATTCACCTATTGGTACCGGCATTACTGCCTGCAAATCATAAATAGCAACTAAGGTATTACTGTTGGGTTCATTACAGATCTCTATATCTTTGGATTTTTCACTACGACTTAGTTGTTTTTCTTTTTGGTGTAAATTATATTCTGGAAGTAACTTATCCTTATCTTCTCCCACAGCATTCTTAAAAGAGGTCACATTGATCCTTCTTCGGTATAAAAAAGGTAAGATTAAATTCAGTATTAAAAAATTTTGCGTAGACATCGTAAGTTGCTGCCTCTTTCTGTAGTGAAGAACGTTGTGTCTTGTAATTACGATGCATTTCAACAATTGTTAGACCACCATCTATAAATTCTATAGAAGTGTGAGCTCTCAAATAATGGGATTCAATCCGTGGGATTGAATTAATATGGTTTTTAACAGATTGCAAAATTTCTGGATCTGTTTTTTTGTGATGGCCATGTTTACCTCTATTGTCTTTTGGAGCCATGCCTGAATTATATTTTTTTGCCTCAATTACTGTTCGTAGAGTCCTTTCAGAAATTCCTAGAGTATTCAATAGGAATGTTTTACACATTTTAAAACCACGGCCGTTATTTAAAAATAAAAATGAGCAATTAGGTGTTCTAGGTTTTTCAACGTTCTTAATACGACGGCACAAAATGTTCAAAGGTTCGATACACGAGCACAAAAAATCTCTTTGTCGTTGAATAGAAGCCAAGTTCCAGTAACTTTCAAATATCTGTCTTCTTTGATCCTCTGAAAATTGGTTTCTGCACTGTAATCTACAATTGCATGGTGGTCTCATTACTTTAGCATCAATATTTTTTCCAGTGCGAGAAACGTACTCTTTCCCTGAGTTTTTGAGTTCTTTTGATATATTTTTTTTCCATTTCTGTGGATTCCTAATACGCTTTTTACCCTTCTTTGTCTTTGTCTTTGTCGGCGAATGTCTTATTTCTGAATTAAATCCTACAGTAGAAGAAGACGTATTGGAAATCGGTGAAAAACTAATATTTCTAATATGACGTCGTTGAGGTGGCTGATATTCGTCGGTACTATCATCTGGCGAAAAGTCGATATCAGCATAACGCTCATCTTCGGAATTAGGAGGATTGTTTTCTTTGTCTAAAATAAATACAAGAAAATTAATCTCAAATAGCTAAAATTAATAAATAAATAATTTTAACTTGTGAAAATATACATACCCGCAGAGGACGTGGTATTGATAAGGTTATACAAGTCCATAAGTGGCGAAGCAACTGGTTTCTCTCCATGAGATGCATGTAACTTATCAACGCTATCCAGCAGAGAAGGTGAACTTATATTATCACGTATAACGTCTAAAAATAATTACGCGCAATAAGTATTTATTAAGATGATTAATCAAGTGATAATTAGTACATAACCTTACCATCTTCAATATTGTTTTGGTTCTCAAATTGACTATTGTTGTCTATATTTAATACTATTGGTAATGTCATGCCTATAGCTTTGTAGTCACTGTCTTTAGCTCTTCTCAACGTATCGACAGAGGTGGCTGGTATTTCTGTTATTGCTAAAACATTATTTAATAAAAAATGAATAAAAATACATGAAATTACATGAAACGAGCCATAATTAAATACTACTTATCTACTTACCTTCTTTTGACGATGTATCATGTAAACTCGAAGATGTTGAAGTTGATGATGAACTACTACTGTAAGACGACAACGATGAAGAAGAAGACGTCGACGAAGAAGAAGTCGACGAAGAAGAACGTTTCCGTTTTAGACTTACGAGTTCACCTTCTTTTTCAGCTGAAATAAGAAGCCTTCTGATAAATGCTGTTATGTAAACAAAAATTTGCTTCGCTGTCAAAACTTGTAAAAACATATTACATTCTACAAAGTAAAAAATAATTCTAGTTTCGGAAGTCGGAGGCTTTGGTATTGTTCATATTTTTGCCACTGACTTCCAAAACTATTTTATGATAAATGATAAATAGCATTGGTTTACTTTAAAATAAATTGTCTACTAAAAAATTAAGGGTGTCCGGCCTTTTACCAAAATGTCCAGCTAAGCAGGCTGGTATGTCCGGCTTTTCGGTTTTAAGACCTGGCAACATGCATACAGGTCGAACACAGAACTTCCTTTTTTGAAGCCTGTTAAAAAGGATCAATAGATTTCAAATTTGTTTGGGATTAACCCCAATGATTTTATTTGAAAAAGCTACGGACCTCCATCCATGAAATAAAATAATTGTAGAAAACGGTTAATTCCCAACAAATACGCACAATTTTGAAGAAAAGTAGACACTTATAGATGTATTTTCTTACCTTTTAAATCCGCAGGTTCATCCATTGATGGTAATTCACTAATTACGTTATACGAAAATGGTAAAGGTACTTGTCCTTCCTGACCCAACTTTACAATCTGCTCTATTCTTTTTGACCTTGACATGTTTGCGTCTATGACCTAAAACAATACCTTAAATTATACTCTAATTGAACCATTATTAAACTAATACCTAGTCATTATTATAATAATACGTTTACAACAAGGATAAAATTTAGATAAAAGATAGGTACATACCTATTTCAAATTATGAATTAATGTGGACCTTACTGTTTTTGAAAGAAATAATTTTATTATAAACGTACCTAATATGTATATGAATATAAAAAATACATAATGTTACTTGTTTTCTATCTACTAAAATACGTGCATATTTTTGTAACGTAATATTAGCTATGCTAAGTATACAAATATTATGAACTTGTCAGAACAAGAACGTATTTGGCAATTATGTCATATATAATAAGATTTTCAATTGCAGTTTTGTTGACACAATGACATAATTGTCAATTGCGTTATTGTGGCACCAATAATGTAGAAATTGATTGTCATAACTTACATTTACGTCGCTGTAAGTCCCAACACGTTTGCACTTCACGGGGCTCCCCGCACGAATGTCAAATCCGCCGATATTTCTCCGTAACCATGCAAAAACCAAGCCGATTCCCAAACGACATTCACGCCCTCTATCGAAAACTACTGTAAGAACAATTCTGTCGTTTTTCTATAAAAAGAACTTCCGCAACGGGAACTTGTGACATCAAAATGTAAATTTCTGCTTTTTTGTAATTACGTCATTGTTCTATTGGATGAGCGGTGTAAGGAACCGACAACCGATGGGGAAGAAAAGTTCTCGAGTGAAAGCCACGTAATAGTCGAGTAGTTTGGTAAAAAATGCGAGAAGTCAATGAATGCAGATGGCTCGGGGCTGTGCTTTTTGATATTCCTTGGGGGAGGCCTGTGTTCAGCACTAGACTTGTAATGAGTTGTGATGCGGATGATAACGATGATACGTCGATATCTCCTATACTTAATATTATTAACTGTTAATATTTAAAAGATGTATCAAGATATCTAAAAATAGAGTAAATACATACAGCATAAGACCAGTTCTATTGAATAAAACTAAATTTACGGATTCTATCGCGTTTAATTAATTACTTTTACTTATTTTTAATTCCCGACGTTTCCAGTTCTATGTAAGAACATGTAACACTCGTTCCTAGGGATAAATAACTTAATAAAGTTACTTATTCCTAGTAATACGTAAATCTTAAGCAGTACCTCTAGGTAGTATATTAGGGAACCTAATGTATGTATTTTATAAACATGTAATTACTATAGAAATTTAAATACGAAATATTTTGAACTAAAAATGTGCCCTAATTAAAAACCTAATTTAAAGCCTGAGAGAAAATGAGATAAAATGACAGGGTACAGTGTTTTCTGTGATCTCGGTATCCTTTTTATTTTATTTTATTCGGAAAACTAACAGCAATTGCATATTTTTTAATAAAATGAAAAGTATAATAATGTATTATTATTATTATATTTCAACTTTTCCGACATTTCTACCGTGTCTGAACTGCACACATGTTTTTTGAAATATAATAACTATAATCTATATAAAAATTTTCTGTACGTCTGTTTTTCACCAAACTTTCCCTAACAGCTGAATTGTCAGATTTGTGTTTGAGTACGGCCCTGGGTGGCTTAGATTTACAATTGTACCCGGTAGATAGCGTTGTCATCGAGATCTAGAAATCACCAGTACGAAGCCGGGCGGATCGCTATTATAACATTATCTTTGTATATAAAATTCCGATGTCCGTGTGTTCGTAATTCTTCTCGTCCTAAACGGAATTTTTTATACAACCCTTGCAAAACCGGGTTCGCTTGTATAATTTATAAATAAGTATATTTTTCTCTGAGTAGTTGTTCGGTTTAATTTCAGCTGCTTGGTTTCAACATCGCACATTGCTAAAACATTCCTAATGCTACACAATCAGGATGACTTTCGGTCCATCATTGAGCGACTTTCCAAGAATTTCTGTCTTGCAATTTCTTTTGGTATAAGCAGCATAATCGGTCCGAAAAAATCATTGGTGATTTACGATGCGGCTTAGAGACCTTAATGAAAAAACCTTCTCTATCTCTCTCCTTTTAAAAAAATTGCGAATGGTTCTCCAATTACTCCAGTATTGCAATTCTTCAAGGGAACTAGACGAGACCGGAATATCTCGTACTATGTTGCTTATTCATTGCTAGATTTTAAATATTAATACTTAAACTTTTAAAAACAGTTAAAAACCGACTACAAAAACTTAAAGAAACAAATTATTTTAATTTAGAACGTGAACGTGGTAGAGGCATGCTGCAGCACGAAAGGGTCGGCTCCACCGGAGAAAGACTACGCTCTCACAGAATATCAGCGTAAAATAATAGCTCAGTGCTACTGTATTATATATGGTGAGTGTAGAGAACCGGAGACCCTTATTACTGGAAACGAGACATTCCATCTTAGTCCTCACGGGTGACAAAACGTCTGGATTTTGATGGACGTAGATGTCTAAGGACCACAGCATCCACTTACCATCAGGCAGATGCCATTTTTTGTAGGGACTATCGGTACAGGGGTCCACGTGCGGTGAAGTTCCTAAATATAAGAGGACTGGCTTTTTCTCGCTCAAAAGCTAAAAGTACGTCGAGGAAACGCAGCCACTGTTCTTGGCACGATACCACGAGGAGTAGAACTGTATGATAATATTATAAGTTTAGAGTTTTTTTTTATTATAGTTTTTAATTTTGTATATGTTTTTTGTTATATTTAAATGTTATGTAAAGAAAGTATTATCAAATATTAATCTGTTTTAATAATAAATATTCATTAATATCGGTTTACAATTGTCACAAATATAAAGCGTAATACAAAAACACAGTTAAATTTGAGAACGGAGGATCGAGTAATCAACCAAAAATACTCAATATCCTTCAATGAAGGTAACATAATCGTAGCAAACATAAATATAACAGAATTATGTTCCAAAGTTCAATAAGGGCGATGTTTGCTTTGGTGCGAAATATTAATATTAATTAAAAAACTTTTCTCGAAAGTTAGGAATTAATTAGTTAATTATGATCCGTATGCTGATTTTCAGACATGTTATCAAGGAGCGTGAAATTGATAGATTATTTTTTGATTTGATTTAATGATTATAAGCTGTTCTTTTATCAAAAAATGTCCCGCTGGGTTTATTGCTGCTTTTTCTCTGACAGAGGTGTTTTCGAAACCAGTGATAATTTTAACATAACTTAAGTTATATTTCCTATTTTTATTATATGTCCTATTTTTAGGTAAAAGCTTTTAAAGGTTTGTTATCGTTTGCATCTTGACTTGGCATCCTGGCCTTCATCTAGCATCACCCGCAGGAGTTTACAGGTGTCAGCGCAAGTGGGGAAAGGGGGATTGAAATGGGAGGGGTCGACGGTTAAGTGGGTGGGTACGTAGCACATATAATGCGGGAGAGGGCGAAGTGCGGCAGCGAAGTTGTAACCGTTACACTGGGCACTTCGAACTTTGTAAGCTCCCTTGGTTCGTAGTTACAGGTAAGTTGCTTTGAATTTTTAAGTGAAAGTTAAATTAATTAACAACATTTTTATAAATGTTTCTATTGTTTTTATAAAATCAATGGTTTTGCTAATTTTTTTTTCGGTTATTTGTTATTAATGCAATAAATTTGAATGCTTAATTTATCTAAGAAACCAATAGTAATCATTAGCAATTCATTATTATGTATATGAAATAACATTTTTGGTTGCAAATTTTGCCCTTTAACAGCACAGAAACAAATAATTTATAAAGTATAATGTCCATTAACTTACAGCGTATAAATGTCCACTGCTGAACAAGTGGTTACCAAAAAGATGCTGGTGTCCATCTCCCGTTTAAGTTACTTTCAGTCGTCTCTTATAGCACTCAAGGGACGATATGGGGTAATGCGTATTTACATCGCCGCTACACGGCTTAAAGTATAGTGCAATGAAGGGTATATTTTAATTATATATATTAACTATACTTAAATAATGTATAAAGTCTGCCTTGGAAAATGTTTGTCGGTAATTCGACAAACATTTTGCAGGGCAGTGTCGGACTATCGAATTTGTCGGATTATAAAATACCTACCTAAGACCCCCTATAGTCCGGATTTTTTAACAAAAGAGTACCTTGTAATCTGACAAATTACGGATCCAATGACAAGATTTATATATATAGAATTATGTTATATATGTGTACCCTGTAGTACAAATCATACTTCATTATGGATGTCAAATTTAGTAAATTAAATAACACAATAGAGAGCTTACGTTTTATTATAAAATTAACGTCATTAAAGCTATAGAACTTACAAAAAATATTATATAACTTTACATTAGGAAATAATTGTGTACAAACAAAATATTATGAATCAATCAATTTAAGAAGCATCAATTTAAGAGCGTTATAAAGAAACAATAATGCTTCTTGAGAAAAATTATGATTTTTCAACCATTTTCAGAATCAATTTTTTCAAACAGACCCAAAATAATACCCTACGCGTCGAGCACAATAGTGGTGGGGCGTACAAGTTCAATCATGTATTAGCGAAGATTATCAAAAAATATTCAATAATAAATGATAGACCATGTCGGATTACAGAGGGTGCCGGATTAGACAGGACAGGCTTAACAGGGTCCACTGTATATATATATACCTAGTAGTCCGTCTAAGTGTGTATCACCCTCTTGAGTATTTCTGTCGCCAAACATCAACGCGTGCACTGCTTAGTTTCAGTCTAAATGGTTCCTGTAGAGCCAGATACATTGGTAGGCTGTGAGGCTTGCCACGTTAGTCCTGAGAGGTGGCAGCACATCTATAGCCTTCTTTATTATAAGTTGGTTGCAAAAGTTGTCTATGGGATGCAGTAGCAACTTACCATCAGCATTCAAGTTTATAGCAAAGTCATGTAAAAGATCAGATTCAAAAACCAGATTAACTCCATATCAAACAGAAAATATAATATCGGTGCAAAGTGGAAAAAATTTATGTAAATTTTTTGTACGTGGTA